ATTCACCCTGTCCTTTCTCATTTATCCCTATTAACCCCATTCTTAGAGCAATTTCAACAGGTTTCATTGTTTTCTTTACATACATGAATACCAAATACTTCCACCTTATTTGTCCTCCTTTACCCTTTATATCTGTTTTTATTTCATAATTATGTATCTACTTTTTCCTGAATATTTAATGTTTAGGCATTCCTTGACCCCACTGCTTTTCAAGTAAGTAATTTCTTTGTAAATTTACCTGATTTATATTATCTAAACAAGCATTAGTTTGCATTATCGTATCTTATGATTTTCTATTCTTAACACTTTCCATACTAGTTTTCAGTCTTGGGCATTACTTGTAATATTCTCCTTACTACGTTCATATATTTGATCAAATGGAAAATTAACTTTTCCTAATGTGATTTTATTCTTTGATCATTATTCTCATCACATCATCAATCTAAGGATTTACAGTACGTTTTGCAGTTATTTACATAGGCAAATTCTGGTTAGATTTTATTAATAATTTGCTTTGTACAATGCAGTGAAAAAGAATGCATTCATAAATTAGAAATTAAATCATAATACATTCTTCTTTTTCTGTGGAGTCGATGTAGAATTAAGAATAAGTTTTCATGTGACAAACAAAATTTAATATTATTCTGTAAGTTTCAGGGCTCAGCCACCAAGAGGATGCAGAGATATTTCTTTTCTAAAAAACAATGTATTACATACATCATATCAGTGGGAAGCTCCAATGATTTAATTAAATACTCATCTCAGTCTTTTGAGCGATGTGTCACCTCCAATTATCAAATGAAATATTTAATTGGCATCATGGTTCTGAATCTTACACCTTACTGAAACATTCAGCCATTTTTCACAAAACGGAATAGTTATTATTTTCAAATTTACTTCATTTTAGAAATAAAATCTGTGTATGATCTAAACATAACCTTTTCTTTTAAGCAATAAGTTTTAAAAATAAGTAATATTTTAAGGTGCATTTAGGTAATAGGAATTAAAGGGGAAGTAAAAAAGCTGAACATTCATGTAAACATTTGATTTGCAGATTTTCTCTGAATCTGCACCTGAACTTCCACTGAACTCTCTGATAATACTGTTTTCTTTTTAATAGTTTTTCTTTGTTTTTATACATGATAGTTAATAGGATCCTCAAAATGCTACATCTGATATTTAATCTTTTAAGACAAAAGGGAACCAGAACAAAGTGTTTCTGAGTGAAATGAAAAAAAAAAAGATGAAGATGCTGAGATTAGTCATTATATAGTAGCATGTGTTCAAAAGTAGAAATTAAAGTGACATGAGATAACCCAATTTTTAAAGCATCAAATTTTTCAATTTAATCCTAATTCCCTACTATATAAACCTTAGAAACTTTCAGCTTCCTACTATCAGTTTGGTTGAAAGAAAAATCTCACTTCTCATGATTGGTTACAGAAGAGTATGATATTGAAATATCAGAATTTTTTATGGTATTCTCCAATAGCATTCAGGTATGTTCACATTGGTTTAGTCATAAAATTCCTCCTAGACTTCTTAAAAATTTAAAGACAGTATAATAGATTTTAGAGACTGATTTTGGTTGATTTTTTCAAATTTATAACAACATATGTAGAAAAGAAGGACTGGATCAAAGAAAGAAGAGAAATTAGATACTTGTAATAATTTCTTTCTCCGTTTAGCTTTCAAAATTTAATGACTGACATTAATAAAAACACTTTGTATTTTAGTAATCAGTAATACAAAGATATATTTGACTACATAAGGAATATAAATAAAAACAAGCTGTGATATCTGAATAGCCATCTCCTTAACTTTTATTCTACTTTTTATAACAAAATTTTACTAATATGAATTAAATGAATGAAAATAATCTTGGGAGAAGTAAATCATGAGTTGGATTTCTAGGTACTTTCTAGAACACCTAGGAGTGGGAAATCAGGGTTAAACCATAAATTATTTAATGCAATAATTTAATTTTATTCTGTCATATTTATATCATGTATTATTTTGGCGATATTACTTCCATTTTTCTTGAAAAGATATAAACAGAAGAGGATCAAGCATCCTGAAAGCCTGAATTATCTGTAACAAAAAATATAATTGCTAGTACTGCCTATATGATATATATATATATGGATATATATCTATGGTATTGAATGGATATAAGGTTATACGGTGCTGTTCTTCAAAAGTTGTCTTCGGTATATGAGCCTTTAGCTCAAGCATTTGTAAGATGTTTTATGAAGGTGTTCCTGGTGAAGGTGCTTGCTACAAATTTTCTCATTTTTAAACAAAAAGTGACATAATTGTTCCAAAAGAATCTGAGTTTTCTATTAACTTAGAATAACTGTGTCTACTTGGCAGATTAACTATGATGGCACTAGAACATTGATCATTTTTCTTGAAAACTGAAATTGGACCACCAAGGCTCTACTCCTTGGATGTATTCTATAATTTATAATCTTGCTGACTCATCCAAGAATGGGCAAAAGACATGGTAAATGGAAAAGCTCCAAATAGAAGTCTCATGAAAGGAACCTTGGAAAGTTGTATCATTATATAATAAATACTAATTTTTGAAAAGAAAGCTCTTGTTGGTATTGAAGTCAAAATGTTATAAAATCAGATGCAATATTGGGCAATATGGCCTAAGGGTCCTATATATTACCAATTTAATCTTCCATATTTTCATAAATGTGAGCATGAAGCTACAGCTAGGAAAGAAAGAAAGGGAGAAAGAGACAGAAAGTAAAAAAGATGGAGATGAGAGGACAAACCAATCAGATTTGGAATTACCAGTCAGCAGAAGTTTAGGGAAAAAAAAATCACCGAGTGTAATCGTACATTTACTCTGAGAGAGTATCCTTTCACATTGCCTTCTAGGTGATCTCTGAGCTCCTCCAGCTTTCGATGGAGCTACATATAAACATCAGAAAATGAATTGAAAAGGCAACTTGTTCTCTTTTCAGTTTTCCTTTTAAAAATAAGATCACAGCATTACACATTTCTCACTGCCTTTGGCAAACATTTCAAAACATCAAAGATCTTTATATAACATCAGAATGCATGATCCACAAACTGGTGACTAGGAAGCTAACACTTTATTTAATTACAATATCGTATCTCCCCAAAGTATTAGTGAAAATAAATACTATCCTTATAATCCCCTAGAGATTCACAGTGAAATTTTGGTCGATAGAAATAGGGAGCAAAAATATTTAAAGATTTACTTTTCTTTCTGAAACACACTTTTTGATATAAGGTTGTATCCCTATTGAAATAAACTGAACTATAAAATGCATGCTTTGTCCTTAAGAATATATACGTGTATATACATAATCATATTGTATACACACTTAAGAGTAGGAAACATACATTTATAACTTTAAGTTTTATAAAAAGTTGAACTTAGAGATAGTTTTACACACATATGCTTGTATGTACAATCCAGTTTGCATCAGGTGCTACATTTATGGATGCCATTTTTATCTTATTTTACTATCAATAATTTTTTAAATGTTATGCTGAATTTTACATTCTCACTTGAATATGTGTTATAATCCATAGTCCAAACAATTATGGATTTATATTCTTTTAAAGACAAAGGTAAAATACACCTCACAGGTAGACAGTGAGGAATGCTATCATTACATTTTATGGACTGAGCAATCTTAAATCAATTAGTTTTTGAATCAGGCATACAATCAACACTCCCTATCCCCTCTGATTATCCTTAGTGGTATAACATTTTAATATAATTGCTACTCACTATAAAGCAGTGTTAAAGAACAGAGACGATGGCTTTTCTTGAATAAAAAACACAAACATAACAAACACACCTTAATCTATGTGCACTCGTGTGTACATACACACAAATAACAAAAAAGTAAAACTAAGAAAGCAGAAGAGGCAAGGTAGGGAAGAGTGTAGAAGTTTATGTTTCCTAAATTGTTCAATGTTAATAAATTAGAGGTATGTGAATTTTTGAAATGACTCAATATTAGGCCTTAAGGTAGTTACTGAATTTTAGGACACCCCAGTGCACTGAATTATCTAGCATTTTAATTTAACAGTTGCTGCAAGGACAATGGGAGTGAGATATGAAAAAGCAGTTAATTTTGTGAAAGATTATTCTGCATACTTTTAGAGTTGGGCAATTTTCTAACTTGCATTTATGGTAACAACATACAAGTAATCAGTGATTATATCTGTGTTTCTTAATGGCAATAAATTGTTTACCATTTCATAGTGATTAAAACTTAGAATACTGAGTGCTCAAGATATATTGGCCAAATGGTATTTAGCCACTAACAAATGGGATCATCAAATCAGAAATTTTTAAGTTGCGTATTAGTAGATTGCATATACAAATGGGCAAACATTTAGACATATCTGTTTCTATTGTTATGTCAAATTTTAAACTTAAAAAATAAAACAAAGGGATTAAAAGTACTTAAACACTAGTAGTTATATATGAGCCCATTATATTAGCATCATGTAAAACTCATATCCATTTCTTAAGATTACATGTATTCAATACATGTTACTAATTCATATTTTTTTCTGGACATGGATATTACTAGGAGTGGCACTAAAATAACAATTTTTTAATAAAAAAGTTAAAAGGGGAGATGACATTCTGAAATATATTAATTTTCTGTTTAAGAGGAACTTAACACACAATCAGTGACATCAATCAGAGGAACGGTTTACTCTACAACCCCAAATTATAGGCACTGGTAATGAGGCAGTTGCCTTTTTACTTGTTTGTGGTGCCATTCAAAGGTAGTTACTGGCAGCTTTCCTTCAGCTGGTTGCTCTATGTGTAGCTGAAACAAAAAAAATATGACCCAACAGCCAATAAAAATATTAAAATAAAAAATGGGATGGTGAAAAATGGAAAAAGCCCCCTTCCTCCCACCACCCTCCAAAAAGGAAGAAGTGTAGGCTATAGACGAAATCTTGCCCAAAAATGTTAGAAACATATTTACTTTGAGGGATCCAACTCTACTAGCAACTCCTTTGCTTTCATCCGGCCGTCTAATTTGCTACAATGAGGGAAGATGGGTAAAAAAGACAGAATAAAGAAAAAGTGAACTTAAAAATTTTTCTACACATTTATAAATAATACATGCAAAAACATCAATTGACTCTTTCAGGTACCTCTTAGGAGGCCAAGGAGTTAACTAACCCAGAGGCTGTATGACATGCTCTGCAAATAGATCACTACAATACAGTCTTTGTTATGGCACTATTCCTGAGATGAGGAAATTGGCACTTACTTTTGGTTATCTTGGGGACTTCTGATGAAGCAGTATCTGGAGTAGTGTTACATTTGCATTTGGCTTACAAAAAACAAAGAATTACAAATATACCTGTGCACTTTTTCTCTTTCAGTGTTTAACTGTCTATTCCATTGTAATATTAGAAAACATCAATGGTGTGACTAGAAACATTAGTGTTCTTTAAGTGGAAAGATCAGTCCTGACAAACATCATTCTTGACAGGTGACAGAGAAAAGCTCCTATGCTTGCAGAGCCAAGCATGGAGGTTGTTCAGTTGTCACTGAGATTCCCAATAAGTAATTCTGCTGCCCAACCAGAAAATTTTAATGCCAGACCAATGTTAGATATAGTTACTTCTTCAAAACTTCCTGTTTTTTTTTCAGTTGGAATTTTCCTCACAGATAAGATAAATGAGCCAGGCACCCAGTGGCTCATGCCTATAATCCTAGCTACTTGGGAGGCTGAGACTGGGAGGAATGTGGTTTGAGGCCAGTCCGGGTGAAAAGTTTGGGAGACCTCATATCAATCAATAGCTGAGCATGGCAGTCTGCGCCTATCATCCCAGCTACTTGGAACACTGAGAACAGGAGGATCGTGGTTCCAGGACAACCCAGGCAAAAAAGTTTACAAGGCCCTATCTCAATGGAAAAAACTGGCTGTGGTGGTGCATGCTTGTCATCCTAGCAATGGTGGGAAGCCTAAAATAGGAGGATGGAGATCCAGGGCAGCCTGGGCAGAAAAGAGAGACTCTCTCCAAAATAACCAGAGCAAAAAGGGCTAAAAGAATGGTTAAGTTGTAGAGCACCTGCCTTGCAAGTTCAAAGCCCTGAGTTCTAACCCCAGTTTCACCCCCCCAGAATTTTTATATATGTATATATATAGTAGTGAAGCTGTGGTGGTGTACACTGTAATCTCAGCACTCAGGAAGCAAGGCAGGAAGATTGTGAGTTTGAGGGCAGCCTGGGCTATATAGTGAGACCCTGTCTCAAACAAACCAAAACCAAAACCAAAAAAAAAAAAATCAAAACAAATCCCCAACCAAAAAAAAAGAACAAAAAACCAAACAAGCAAACAAACAATAATAACAATAAGAGAAAGGAAAAGTAAAATTGCTATTTTGAAACTTGTTCCACATCACTAAATAAATGAATAAAGGAAGATTCTCAATACAAAGTATCTCGTAGGTAAGATTTTTTTTTAAAACAGAGTTCTACTAAGAACTAATGTTTTGGTAAAAGAGGGAGACAAACCAAAAGCCAAAGGGAGAGAGCAAACTTCAGATCAAGTGGTTTTCTACTAGAGTTCCTGTATTTGGAGAATGATGGTCTCAGTTAAGACCAGTGCAGTCTAGTTAGCGTTAATGCTCCTATTGTTTTGGAGGTGGGAGAAGTATCAGCACAACGCCACATGCCAAACGTCAAGTCATGAGGAAAACAGGGATAGGGAAAACATGACTACACCATGAAATTTTATTCCCTAGAAGAAGGATACAGATTGTCTTTTCCTTTCAGGATCCTTCCAGTAGCATTTGGAAATTGCTGAGAGATACTGAGAAACTGAATTTTTGTTTTGAAAAAAAAAAAAGACATCTTTGTACGTAAGAACTGCATGAACTTTTGGGTTTACTTAATATAAATAGTTTTTGCTAAATCTTCAGCATTAACTAAATGTTTCTGCTAAAACATGAATTACCAATTCTCACTTTTCTTGGTGAAATAAAATTGCCAAATTTAAAACATCAACAGTCTACAAGAAAAGATCTCCTAATGGAGAGTGAATTCAGAATTAGTTCATAATATCTACTCATTCTCTTGTGCTATAGTCTTTTATCTCAGGGAACATCTTTATATAAAAGGCTGTTTGCCATCTTAAATGGAGACTCACAACATCTATATTATAATAATAGTTCTGGTAGTTTCATATATAGAGTCTAATGCCTCATACTGCTTTCTAAAAATGTTTAGAAACTGATGATTTCCAGGACTGTTATACAGTAACAAGCAATACCATTTTCTACTTTGTCTTTTATTTCTACAAGGCTTAAAATTACATGAAGTCCAGTAACATGAAATATCTTCTACACAGAAAGTTAAGGATATGTCTAAGAATAAAACCTACAGGTCATGATTTCTAGTTTAAGGCTGTATTCCTTTAGTAGGTCAAAATAAAAGAGGCTAAAAAATTTGATACTTTTAAGAGGTGATATATATCAAAGAAATGTTTTCTTTTTTTTTTTCAAATCAGTGCATTTTAATTATCATTGAGTAAATATTGTATTCCACATACAAGTTAATTACAAGAATTCCTAGGGCTGGGCCCTGGTGGCTCACTCCTATAAACTAGCTATTTTTTTTTTTTTTGTTTTTTTTGATTTTGGTAACTTTTATTTTATTTTATTTCATTTTTCTTTTATTATTCATCTGTGCATACAAGGATTGGTTCATTTCTCCCCCCTGCCCCCACCCCCTCCCTTACCACCCACTCCGCCCCCTCCCTCTCCCCTCCCCTCAATACCCAGCAGAAACTATTTTGCCCTTATTTCTAATTTTGTTGTAGAGAGAGTATAAGCAATAATAGGAAGGAACAAGGGTTTTTGCTAGTTGAGACAAGGATAGCTATACAGGGAGTTGACTCGCATTGATTTCCTGTGCGTGGGTGTTACCTTCTAGGTTAATTCTTTTTGATCTAACCTTTTCTGTAGTTCCTGGTCCCCTTTTCCTATTGGCCTCAGTTGCTTTAAGGTATCTGCTTTAGTTTCTCTGCGTTAAGGGCAACAAATGCTAGCTAGTTTTTTAGGTGTCTTACCTATCCTCACCCCTCCCTTGTGTGCTCTCGCTTTTAGCATGTGCTCAAAGTCCAATCCCCTTGTTGTGTTTGCCCTTGATCTAATGTCCACATATGAGGGAGAACATACGATTTTTGGTTTTTTGGGCCAGGCTAACCTCACTCAGAATGATGTTCTCCAATTCCATCCATTTACCAGCGAATGATAACATTTCGTTCTTCTTCATGGCTGCATAAAATTCCATTGTGTATAGATACCACATTTTCTTAATCCATTCGTCAGTGCTGGGGCATCTTGGCTGTTTCCATAACTTGGCTATTGTGAATAGTGCCGCAATAAACATGGATGTGCAGGTGCCTCTGGAGTAACAGTCTTTTGGGTATATCCCCAAGAGTGGTATTGCTGGATCAAATGGTAGATCAATGTCCAGCTTTTTAAGTAGCCTCCAAATTTTTTTCCAGAGTGGTTGTACTAGTCTACATTCCCACCAACAGTGTAAGAGGGTTCCTTTTTCCCCGCATCCTCGCCAACACCTGTTGTTGGTGGTGTTGCTGATGATGGCTATTCTAACAGGGGTGAGGTGGAATCTTAGTGTGGTTTTAATTTGCATTTCCTTTATTGCTAGAGATGGTGAGCATTTTTTCATGTGTTTTCTGGCCATTTGAATTTCTTCTTTTGAGAAAGTTCTGTTTAGTTCACATGCCCATTTCTTTATTGGTTCATTAGTTTTGGGAGAATTTAGTTTTTTAAGTTCCCTGTATATTCTGGTTATCAGTCCTTTGTCTGATGTATAGTTGGCAAATATTTTCTCCCACTCTGTGGGTGTTCTCTTCAGTTTAGAGACCATTTCTTTTGATGAACAGAAGCTTTTTAGTTTTATGAGGTCCCATTTATCTATGCTATCTCTTAGTTGCTGTGCTGCTGGGGTTTCATTGAGAAAGTTCTTACCTATACCTACTAACTCCAGAGTATTTCCTACTCTTTCTTGTATCAACTTAAGAGTTTGGGGTCTGATATTAAGATCCTTGATCCATTTTGAGTTAATCTTGGTATAGGGTGATATACATGGATCTAGTTTCAGTTTTTTGCAGACTGCTAACCAGTTTTGCCAGCAGTTTTTGTTGAAGAGGCTGCTATTTCTCCATCGTATATTTTTAGCTCCTTTGTCAAAGATAAGTTGCTTATAGTTGTGTGGCTTCATATCTGGGTCCTCTATTCTGTTCCACTGGTCTTCATGTCTGTTTTTGTGCCAGTACCATGCTGTTTTTATTGTTATTGCTTTGTAATATAGTTTGAAGTCAGGTATTGTGATACCTCCTGCATTGTTCTTTTGACTGAGTAATAGAAATGTTTTCTATTGCATTTCAGTTTGAAATACACATACGGAAAACTTAATGAATGAATTATGAGAAGACAAAAAGAGCCATCACTGTACTTTAAATATGAAAAATAGCTGATTTTAACAGACTTTTGGGAACACTGTATCAATGCTTTGCATTAATTTCCTGACCATGAGTCTGCCTCTGAAACTGTTACAGAAGACAAACTTTAGAAATGTAATGAGAGTTTTAAATTCAGAAGTTGCTGCAGTTGAAGTTTCATGCTATTTTTTGTGGCTCCTGAAACTACTAAATAATAATAATAATAATAATAATAATAACTAATACTGAAAACTTCACAAAGACATGGAAAAAGGTTTGTCTCTATAAATTAAAACAAGTAAAAATGAAACATGAAGTCAATACATTTAAAAATTATAACATTCTAATTCATTCTAGTCAACCGTTAATGGTCAATTAGAATAGAGTAGTATAAAAGAAATTTGAAGTTAATGCAAATGTCTGACTATTTGAGAATAAAACTAAATCACAAAATAAGAATGTTTGGGTAAGATGAATTAATTTGCTTTTTGTTATAATTGTAAGAGCCTCACATTATTACTTACTTTTGGCTAGTTTTTTTTTTTTTTGCAGTATGG